ATATATATATATATATATATATACATATATATATATACACAGTATATACACACTTTTTCTTATTTTCTTATTTTTTTAATATTTATTTATTTGTTCTTTTTTTAATAATATGTCACTAATGGTTAACTTTTCATAACCTGCCAATTTAGTATAGAATGTGGAGTAACTTTTTGCCTGCATGCCAGCAATTTTATGTCGTAGCATGGGATCTGTTAATTGTATTTGCACATATTGATGTAAGTCCAACTCTCTTATTAACCAAATATTTTGCAGCTGTCTTCTTGTTGACAGAATACTTTCAATATGCTCCCCCCTCTCTAGTGGTAGAGCTGCAGATTACGGCATCTATTATTACACCATAAGGCTGATTCAATAAAGTAGTTCAAAGAGCAATGATAGAGTATATTAATCTTTTGTAAGCAGAAAAAGTCTTTTAACTGATGGGACTACAGTAAACCTCTAAATCAGATTGGCACATTGTCACCGCTGTTTGCACTGCTTTTTTTTTAAATATAAGCATGTATAACTGAAAGGGCATGGGGCTGGTTATGTATTAAATATTCCTAGCACAAGTACTTCTGTGTTGTTGATATCTCTTTGAATCAACTCATGTGAATGAACAGTATATAAAAGGTAGCATAATGTTCCTATAGGATCTGTGTAAGCATAGGGTACCAATCAGCTTCTCTCTTTCATTTTCAAAGCTTAACTGAGCAAACTAAAAAGAGAAGCTGATTGTTTGCCATGGGCAACTGCTCCAGATTCTGTCTGCTCCAGGTTTCTTAAATTTCCCCCACAGAGTCAAATATTAGCTGGTAAATAACATTTGAAGGCCATCAACCTAGAGAAAATAATGATATATTGCATAGAGGATTAAATGGCATTTTAGTATAAAGCATGTTTTTGGGAGAAGCAAAAAAGTGAAATCCTGTGAATGATCTGAATTCGTGCACAAATTGTTCCTAAAATAGAACCAACAACACTTTCTGTAGCTGTTGATGTGACACAGCTTTAAAAGCTGTTTATTCCATTCCTGTTAAAAAGAATTGCCAGTTGGCATCTACATTTTTTGCTTGTTTTGCTTAAACAGCCATTTTCTAACCACATCCTAGAATTTCAGAGAAACTGATTTAGTTTTGGCTATTCCAGAATAAGGATCTTCTTCTGTTCAATGTGTGTGTGTGTGTGTGTGTGTGTGAGGGGGGGCGTTAATTAAGTCCTGTGTTTTGGATCATTGTCATGGAATGCGGTGCAACTTTTTTGAGCTTTTAAAAACAGACAGACATCCAAGCATTATGTTGTATAATTTCCTGATATGGCTTCAAATTTATTGGTCTCTCATGATTGCAAACCACCCAGACTCTAGGACTTAAAGGAGAACTATGGGGTCAGTGTTTTTCCCCAAAAAAACACTGCGTCCTCCCGTTACCCTAAGCTCAGTATACCGTGAGCTACAGCTCGCGGTATACTGAGACGCCGCAGCCGGAGCGGATCCCGACGTAGATGATGGGATCCGCCCAGCTGCTTGAGTGACAGCTGGCTCTGCCTATCTAGAGGCAGAGCCAGCTGTACCCGCCCCCTCCCCCGTCCGTTCTGCCAGTCAGTGCTGGCAGATCGGAGCGGGGAGAGGGGAATCCAGCCCCTCCCCCTGTCACGGCAGAGAGCCGTGACAGGATCGAGAGGTGAGCGAACCTGGTATGTTTTCGCTCACCTCCCGATCTACTGAGCCGACCTGTGACAGTCTCATTGTCACAGGTCGGCTAGAACTATGAGGTGAGTGGAAATCACTCAACTCATAGTTCTCCTTTAATGCTTAATAGTTGGTGTGAGATTTTGTTTTCTCACAACTCTGTACTTATTACCAGAAGTCTATGCCATACCCTTTCACTCATTTTTGAGTAACAACCACAATTGAATTCTTTAAAATATATTCCTGACTGTGGACTGATGGAAGCACAAATCTTTGGAAGTCTTTTGTAGCTCCTTCCAGTCTTATAGACTTCAATAGCTCTTCTTCTGAGATCCTCTGAAGTCACTGTTGATTTATTATTTCCCATGTTTTGTGTTCATGGATACCACCCTGGGGTCTAGTTTAATAAGATGGTTATGAAGAATGTCACCAGCACACCGAAGATCCTTTAAGAATCACACAATGTTAATTTAATCGAACAATTTGTCAGAATCGAAACAAGCGCTTTCAGGACCTCGCAGGGTCCCTTCATCAGGCATTAACATCATTTAATAAGAGTCACACTGTACACAGATCACTATCAGGGTTATTCACATAATGGTAAAGAGTTTGGAGAGGGCAGGAGAAGTGAACAATCTAGGACAACTTAGCTGAACTGGAAAGTGAGCTGAATGTGAGAATGTTTCCAAATCAGCTATGTTGTCCTAGATTGTTCACTTCTCCTGTCTTCTCCAAGCTCTTCACCCTTTTGTGAATAACCTTGTATGTGACTGGCTGAATTTAGGCCAGTTGGCATCACTAACAATCTCTTATAACCTCACAGGGGGACAAGACCAAGACAATAGAGCACTGCTAATTATGTCTCCTTCCAAAGCACCATCGGGATTGAGCCAGAAAGACCTTCAGGAAACCATTGTGTATTTCTACTCTCTTCTCAGGTAAAGGAAAGGTGAAGAACAAAGGGGGTAAAGATAAAAAAAGGGCACAATACAGAAGCAATAATACGTGGTAAAGAGTTGAAGCATACTGGCTGTGTTGTGGATTAAGATAGTTCATCTTATATTTACTGACAAATAATCCTTTGCATCTGAATATAATCATAAAACCAGGGCCATTGACCAAGGTTTGCATCATAAAGACCTATGATGCTACCAGTGAAGCAATCCTACAATAAGCGGATTGTTAACAAGGCCAATACTGAGCTGTAATTATCGTAAAACTGAATATTTCTTGCTGAATGAACAAAGGTGCTGCTATATGTGTGAGTTTTGTTGATGGAACGCATTCATTAGCTTAGCTTACCATTGCGACATTTCCTGTGTCAGCAAACACGTACTTTCACTGGAGTTTTAGAATGGCATTTCAAAATTCAACATGAAGGCACTTTTAGTGCAAAACTACAGTAACAAAATATTCAAATGACACTTTATAAAATTATAGAATTGACGACAAGAACGTTATCACGTATGCTTTAGTAAATGTGAATGTTTATTAGACGAATACAAGTGGGCTGATACTACAAAACAGTCAGACTGGTATCCCATATGTACAGTAATAATTCAAAGTGAAACTCCAAGGAGAACATTTTTTATTTTAATAGAGTGCCAAGGGTTTTGAACATCTGTAGAGTGTTTATTAGGGCCTGTTCACACTAGCCTGTCCGGTGAAACACTGGGTTTCAGCAGAAGGTCTAGTGCGTTGTATTAACTCCGGTAGGGTGCGTTGCATAACACACTGCCGGAGCTGTCACTGTTTACATTTTTTTCTTTTCTTTTTTTTACTTTATGTGGAGTGTACAATGTGTACACTCCATGCAGGTCCCCGCACAGCAGTGCAGTACGATGCACTGCCAAACGATGAACTTCAGTAGCATACATTGTGCTGCGATAATATGCTAATATGCATCATGATTGCATTTTATCGCAGTGCCCCATCCACTGCGTTGTAGTATGAATGTGGCACATAAAAAACAATTATTTTCTATGTGTCCAAGCGGTGACCTGTGTTGATCCAGTGCAGTACAATACAGGACCCCGCTAGATGTGTGAACATGCCCTTACTGTCTGTGTACTCACAGGGGAAATTTCAGATATATTGTTGTCACCAGGGCAGGAAGTGAAGAGAAAGCAGGGGTGCAGCAGTAAGGAAAAAAATGTTGGTGAGTGGAGGTGGACTAAAAGCATTTTAGTTTTTTTTATTGCTGTGTGTGTACTCTTTGGAGATGTCTCCTCACTTCCACTCCCATTGACAGTGGGAAAAGTTCCCCCATTTGGCAACATTTTGCAATAAAAACTTCACAGAGGTTCTAGAGTAAATGTTTTGGCTGGAGTTATACTCTAAGTACTACAGACACATAACAAGGATGTTATATTACATACAGTAGACTCTACTGTGGTTAAACTGATGTCCAGAGTACTCAACATAATGTGTCATAATAGGTGACTGAATGTGCATACCCGCAGAGGTAGTGCATGGTACACCAGAACTAGAAAGGGTGGAAATGCCGCCCTGGAAGCAGGCACAGAGTGAACTCCAGCACCCACTTGTTTGCTGTGATCAACAACCTTATTTAACCTACAAGCCTGTTTAGGTAAATTAGCCTATTGAATATACTGTACATGAGTCTGGTTCACAGAACCAATTGGACTTTCCAATTCCGTCGTAACCAAATACACAATTGCAAGATATTGGTAAATTATCTGAAATAATTGCTGTGGTCTAAAATATGACTTCTGAACAGTTTAATCCGGACTGATAGCAAGATATAAAAGAACCCAAACACTACTATGATTATTGTTCCAGTCTAGTATACACTATAATATGCAGTATATACAGTATAATATACATAAATACTTTAGTAATCATGCAGATAGTGAAAAACATTTTGCAGAATGTTTCTTGTGTACAATTGCACAACACTGCCATAGTGAACAATTGGTATGGTTATTCTTAGAATACATTTTAACCTTCTTCTAAAATGGTTTTATTGAACTTTAGATGTAAATTTTTCTGTTAGATCTGATGTGCGTGATTTGGGCATGACCCTCATTTTGGATCTGCGAGATTGCACAGCCAACATGGAGGCTTTCCTAGAAATGCTTCACAACAGCAAGGTAACAATGACATGATGTTGTTCTATGCTGCTTTTTTTGAGGCTATGCATTAGTGATACAAGTCTTACAGGTACACTGTATGACCAACAGTTTGTGGACAGCTGGCTATCATACCTATATGAACTTGTTGGACATCTATTGAGCACTAATATGCAGTTGGTCCTCCTTTGGGGCTGTACCAGCCTCTACTCTTCTGGGAAGGCCTTTTATAAGATTTTGGAGTGTGTCTGTGGGAATTCGTGCCCATTCAACCATAAGAGTGTGAGGTCATTTACTGATGTTTGGTGAGATGACCTGGCAAGCAATTGGCATTCCACTTCATTCCAGTAGGAGTGAGGTCCGGGCACTGTGCCTGTAGTTTACTTTACAATAAACTCATGAAACCATGTCTATATGGATCTGGTTTAGTGCACAGGGCACAATCGTGCTGGAACAGAAAATACCCTTACCCAAACTGTTGGGTTATGTTGGAAGTAGGAATGCACCAATACCGATACTGATATCGGTATCGGTGCCAATAAAAAGCATTTGCTCCGAAACATACATCGATATTGGAAATTCCAGTCAGAGGGAGTTTCCCTCTGAGTGGCAGTGCCGCAATGGAGCATGGAGCATGTCATGACCCACCTCCCAGCTTACTGATTGGCTAAGAAGCCTGCTCCATGCTGCCTAGTGGCACTGCAACGCAGCCTGGCTTCCTGACCAATCAGGAAGTCAGGCAGCAGGTCATGACCCGCCACTGGTTTCCTGATTGGCTAGAAAGCCAGCTTGTCCCCATAAGGAAACCCTTTCTGAATAATGCCATGTAGCCAACACTGGAACTAGCGCGTTTGTTTAAACAAACGTTATGTCATTCAGTCAGGGCTCATCTAGATCTTTTGCAGTGTGGTAATGCGCATTATGTTGCACATTAGGCATGACAGTGGCTTAGTGATTAGCATTTCTGTCTTGCAGAACTGCCGGTCCCCGGTTTGAATCCTGGTCAGACACTATCTGCAAAAAGTTTCCATATTCTCTCTCTGCTTATGTGGGTTTCCTCCCACACCCCAGAGACATGCTGGAAGGTTAATTAGCTCCTGTCTAAATTGGCTCTAGTATGTGTGTGAGATAGGGACCTTCAATTGTAAGCTCCTTGTGGTTATGAATGTGTACACATGTGAATGTCTACATACACATCTGATGTGAATGTAAAGAGCTGCGTAAGTTGTCAGTACTATATGAATACCTATAATAAATGAATGTTAGTTGCTTTAAGGCTGCTCGTGTAAATGAATGAGCTGCCAAAAGACCATAACAGGTTGAAAATGAGACGTGACCCTTAATTGTAACTACTGTTCGCTGCATCAAATGTGCTTTGGGGTGCCATTCAAAATGAATGGCATCACAACACAGTACAGTAATGCATGTTATGTGCATAACTGCACATTACTACAATATGTTGGTGTATATGGGTCCATCTACTTTATTTTGATTTTGGCATAAATCTACATTCCCTTTGCCAAAAAAAAATATATACAGGTGAAACTCGAATAATTAGAATATCGTGCAAAGTTCATTTATTTCACTAATGCAACTTATGCGGTGAAACTAATATATGAGATAGACTCATTACATGCAAAGCAAGATAATTCAAGCCGTGATTTGTCATAATTGTGATGATTATGGCTTACAGCTCATGAAAACCCCAAGAACCCCAAATCCACAACCTCAAAAAAGTAGATTATTACATGCAATCAATAAAACAAGGATTGTACATGGAACAATATCGGACCTCTGAAAAGTACAAGCATGCATATGTACTCAGTACTTGGTTTGGGCCCCTTTTGCGGCACTTACTGCAATTACTTTTGCACGATATTCTAATTATTCGAGTTTCCCCTGTATTTCTGTTGACCAATGTCAAGTAAACAAAATTAAATCATGTCATGTAATGTTCTCTGACAATAAAACATGAAACCTTTGAAGGGGGTGAAGACTTTTTCAGAAACTGTTTTAATTTAAGCAAACTAATGAAATGTTTCTGTCTACAGGACACAGTCCATGGTTGTATAAATCGCACCTTATTTGTTTATGATGCAGAGAATGCTGCTACAGTTCAAAGTGACCTTCAACAAACACAGGCAAGCACTTTGTACTATATATAGTAATGTGTTACATTGCACATCATTAAATCAACAGGGAAGTAAGTACACAATGATGCATCTGGGTGCCACACCAAAACTGCTCGTCCACAGGCACAAAGACAGTCATTGATGGAAGTGTTTTGACAGTTCACACGTGTTTCTGTTCATCAGTGTTTCCATAGTCCAGCAGTTTTTCCTGGACCACGAGGCATGACTTTAAGTAAGGAAATATTCTTCAAGAATGGAAATTTCTTTCGGTGCTGTGTTAACATCAGACTATTTTTAATAGATTTATTTCTGAACAGATACCAAAATAGCTATATAGCTGTCTGTATATGTGCAGCAAGCTAATTATCCATATTATATAGTTCTTTTCGTTCTTTTCTTAAATAGACCCTTACACAAGGGATTCTGGCCATGCTTATACAGTAGAAGGATAAATCACACTCTTAGAGTTTTTAAACAGATCTGTAGGAAATGAAATGTTGTTGTCAGGAAAATTAACTGTGATTCATAATTATATTGAATGCTTTTACCTTTATTTCCTTTTTACCTGAAATGCACATCCACTATGTATCACATCTTATCAGCTGAATTCAAGCAGAAGGGAGAATATCAGGCTAAAGCAGATTTTCTCAACCAGGGTTTGGTGGAACCCTAGGGTTCTTCTAAAGATTGCTTGTGGTTCCTTGAACAATTTCTGCCTCTCAGATAAGTGACACTGACAACGATGTTCTTTTTAACTATCTTATGGGGAGGATTCTTCCCAATGACCACAAATGTAGGCAGCATTCTTCCCACTGAGGTACCATGAACTGTAGATAGAGTAAATATTAGCAGGGGTTCCCTGAGACCAGGACGTTATTTCAAGGGTTCATCCATGTTAAAAATCTTAAGCAAGGCTGAAAAAGAACTTTGTGCATCCTGTGAAAGGATGCCTCATAAGTGATGGGTTTCTTTCCCAATGGCTTCTACACAAAGGCCATGTGGACAATATCATTTAATAAGTGATTTTGGTTTTATATTATCAGCTTTATTCTGACCCCTAAGCACTCTTATGCTTGCCGTGCAAGGTGGGTATAAACTTTTGGATATGAAGTTTTGTGGCCTTAAGATGCGTTTGAGGTTAATGTTGAGGCGTACCGCAGGAGTAGGCACACATCGGCCCTCCAGCTGTGGTGAAACTACAAATTGCACCATGCCTCTGCCTCTGGGAGTCATGCTTGTGGCTGCCAGATTCTTGTAATGCCTAATGGGATTGGTAGTTTCACCACAACTGGAGAGCTGAAGTTTCCCTACTCCTGGCTTTGGGTATGCAGCATCTATGCTGTTTTCTACAAAAGTATTGTTTGGAAAATAAGGTCATGTCCAGATGAGAAAAAAAAAACACAGACCATTCACACTTTGCCATCTTGCTTCACTTTTGTTAATCCTATTTGTTCTGGTGCACCGACAGCAAAAAAAAAAAGGCGGGGGTTCAAACCCTCTCCTCCATAGTCCATAACTAGAAAGAAATGTTTTGGCTATACAGTAGTGCACTAGTGGGCATGATGTCATCCATGGACATGCGTTGTGTAGGGCAGCCCATTCAAATAGATAAACCAGATCTGACAAAAAAACAGACATACAGCATTTTTCTGGCGTAGTGCACCACAAAGTATTGCAGTGCGTTACCGTGCTTTGTGGTGCTTTGCAAGACATGTGTGTTAAAGCTTTGTCGCCTTAGTGTGTTGGGATACTGCAGCACACCTTGACGCCAAAGTGTAAATGTGCCCTGAGTAAACTGCCATTTTTTTTCAATGTCTTGATCAAGGGATCAGCACTCGAATTTTCACGCACAATCTGATGGGTGCATATTCATTAGAATGGCTTGTATCATGTGAAATGGCTTGTATCATGTGACTGTACACTCCTGGTATACCTGTATATCTATCTTGCATGTGTCGTAAATGTATGATCTACTGTTGCTACATACATCATTTGTATTGATTTTACTACTTCTTGTCCATGCAGGTTGTATTAGTATCAGAACTGGCAAAGTACGTTGGGGCTGAAGAGCTCCCAGAAAACCTTGGAGGAGAGAAGCCTTATGAGCATGCTGAATGTGTGAGGAGCCAACGGGTGAGATACAGTAGTGCACACACTGAATTTTATATGGGATGTATAGGATTTGTACAGATTATGCAGGGCTGTATGGAAAACTGAAATTAGGTGCTCTGTTTCCTAGTAAATTACCAGACTCCTCAGCAGAACTGGCATATATTTCAAAGACACTATTAAATATTGATTAAAATTAAAGAAAAAAGCTTAATGGGCGTGTCCCTGAGACTCCTATCATCATCTCCTGGCCCTAAATACCTGTCAATCATACCTGCACTCACATCTGTTTGTCTTGTATAACTGGCCACTTCATTTTAGCCATGGAAAGGGGGAAATTTAAGACCAACCTTTCCTCAATTGTGTCCATCTATGGAACCTAACTACACGTTGTCTTCCAGCCTTTTTGTGCTCAAATTCAATGCTTGCTTCCAGTTTTCTTCCAGCCATGGTGTGCTCAAACTCAATGCTTGGTTCCAGATGCCTTCCAGCCATTGTGTGCTCAATCTCAATGCTTTATTCCAGTTGCCTTCCAGCCATTGTGTGCTCAATCTCGATGCTTGGTTCAAGTTGTCTTCCAGCCATTGTGTGCTCAAACCCAATGCTTGGTTCGAGTTGTCTTCCAGCCAGTGTGTGCTCAAACTCAATGCTTGGTTACAGTTGTCTTCCAGTCATTGTGTGCTCAAACTTAATGCCTGATTCCAGTTGTCTTCCTGCTATTGTGCACTCAAACTCAATGCTTGGTTCCAAGCTCAGATGATGCCAGAGATTCTACCAGTTACAACAGTATAAGCTGTCTGCACAGTCAGACCCCCTTCCCATTATTGACAAGTATTGGGCAATGAGTCATGCAGCTTAGGAGCTTCCACTAAACCTCAAAGAGAAAAGCCTTACATGTTGGTGTAAGAAGACAACAGAGGAAAAACAGAGCAGCACTTTGAGCTGTATTTTGCACATATGGGAACAGAGGAGAAACAGAGCAGCACTCACTTTGAGCTGTATTTTGGACATATGAAAATTGCACAGATTAAAGAGAGCCGTGTAGGAAACTGACATTAACCACCTCAGTCATTCCTTATACATCTCTTGACTGTAAAATACACCAGTGCAAAGTAAATCCTGATTTATGAATGGCTTGGTCAAAACCAGATGGTTTGTAACATAGAACACAGACAAAAATAACCAGACGGCCACATCTGGTCTGCTGAAGTTTGTTTGGCTCTCAGACATCCCTGAAAAAGCATTGTGCTTATTTTTTACTTAAAGAGCAGAAGCATATGTTGATATTTATTAGTTCGATATGTTTTTCTTCATAAACTTTACAAAGATTTAATAAACCCTGATCTGTAAACCTTGTTTTGCAGACAGGAAGATCCCACACGGGTGGGTGCGGAAGGCCAGACTTATTCAGCAGTGATTGATTACATGAGGGAGGGGAGAACTGTGCGGTCTAGCAAATACTCCCATTTCCTTTACTGCAATTATACTTCTATAACTGTTGCACGGAGGGCCCCCTGTATAAAGCTGACCTTTTTCAGTTAGGCAGAGAGCAATATGCATCTGTCCAAAGATTTGGACAGATGCATTTTGCAGAATTCATCTTTCACTGATCTGACTACAGAAAAATGAAATCTGGCAGAATGCTTGAGTTACTGCACTGTTATGTATTATGATTGCTCAAAGCACTAAATATAAACAAGTACATAGACAAAGATGATCTTGTACTGCCCTACCCAAAAGTAAGTTCACAATAACTAATAGTTCTCACTGTAAAAAAAATGGTGTGGTACTTTGTTGTGATTCAGGCACACCTGCTCAAAAACAGACCTACATTGGGTCCAATAATGTAGCTAAGTGCCAGGAATAGTCAAAATGTGCCATTTTAAGACATTGTAACACGTTTTGGCTAAAATGAAATTCTAATCATCGAGGATGTGTTCATCACTACATAATTATTTTTTTTTAATATGCCAAGGGGACCCTGACATCTCACTTGCACAACATTGTTAAATCTGAATTCTGAAATGAAAGCAGCCTCAATATTACTTTAGTTTCATAAACAAGATAGCAAGCACACATAATCCAATAAAGAAAGGGATGGCCTACACAGATGGTGTGCATCGTTTAAATGCAAAGTTATATTGTTCTTACCCACTATATTACCTACCTTGTGTGGAATTGGGAAAAATGTTGTCTCTGATATTCTTTTGGAAGCTTCGGAGTAGACGGATTCTTGAATTAAAAATGTATTTCATTCCCATGAAATGAGAAATATTAGTGGTGATCATAATGCTGCATTTCCAAGCCCTGCATATGGCTTCTGACTGAGGTCATCACTGTGCTATATCCTCTGGTAAGCATGCTCATACTGTTGAATGACAGCACCGTTTAAAACAGTGGAGCTCTGATTGACTCATTTCACAGCCCATCTCTCTTCCAGTGTAAGTGCTACAGTGCTTGAAATAATAGCAGGTTGGTATTAGGACAGTCAGATTCAGGTATTTATACTAGTTTTATGTAAAAAATATATTTCAGGATTTAGTTTTTTTACTTGATTTAAGTTGCCTGGATTTTAACTTTCAAGTAAACTCATGCTTTGTCCATGAAGAGAAAAGCAATAGATTCACTACATTGTAACAGTTGCTGGAGTTGGAGCTTACACAGGGAAAGGGACTCCCTGTGTGACAATTATGACTGTCCTAATGCTGTCATGTGGAGTGAGTGACATGCTTCTCCATACCCAGAAGTACCAGGTATCTCATTTAGGCTGTTGGGGGTCTTTAAACAACCCTTTTAATTTGCCCTGAATGAGTAAAATAAATGTTTGATTTATTGAAGAACTCTGCTAAGTAGTGTGTGTATCTCCTCTGGCTGCACAAGAAGCAGGTTAAAAAATAATATATTTTCTGTGAAAAAGAAATGTGTGGCCACCCTCCTTCTCAGCCCATCACTGATGAGCAACTTGCTCTGAACCAGGAACAAAACGTTGAAAGCTCCATGGAGCCGTAGCATTATCCTCCACCAAAGTTGGATAAAGAGGAGAGGGGGAACACAGAAAAAAAGTGTTTCAGGATGTCGGGTCCTGGAGTTTCTGGTCTCCCATTGCAAGGAAATGAGTTAAAAGTTTTAAGTGCTTCAACTGAGTGATTCACATTCAGCTACACATGTTAAGCTGTGCCTATTTCCATTGATGCCATTGTAGCTAACGTTGTAGCCAGCTACAACCATTACGTATTTCAGGATTGTTTTAGGAAATGTTGATGTCTGTGTTGTAACTTTAGTTAATATCACTCTGCCTTGTTCTGTGTGTGATATTTGCTCTACTCTCTTCCATCAGTCTCTCAGCAGGCTCCACACATTGTGCTGTGATGTGCTTGAGTCACTGGAGAAGGTCACACAAGAGGTCAAAGCTGACACTACAGAGGTTTGTCATCATAGTTAACAGATTGTTGGAATTTTATTTTATCCTCACCATTTTTAAGGGTTACCAAACGTGAAATGTAAACATTATAGTTATATCCTGTCCATGTATGTGAAAGAGTTTATAAGACCTTGGTTTACGAGCATAATTCCTTCCGGAAGCATGCTTGTAATCCAAAGCGCTTGTATATCAAAGCAAATTTCCCCATAGGAAATAATGGAAATTCAGATGATTCGTTCTACAACCCAAAAATATTCATATAAAAATGATTACAATACTGTACTGTAATATAATACTGTACGAAATATAAAGAAAAATAAACAGATTACCGGTGCCTTTCACTATCACTAACGAAATCACTGCTATCTCTTGGCTCAATGGAATCTTTTTCATTTCGTGAAACCTTAAAAAGGAATCTATCCAATGTGACATTGCATTGTCGTTTAAACAGACTCATCGCTCGCACTGCTACAGCCTTATTCGGTGGTGCTTTTCTACAGAATTTTGCTCTTATTGCAAGACATTGCTTGTATATCAAGGCAACATTTTTCAGAAATGTTTGCTTGTCTTGCAAAACACTCTCAAACCAAGTTACTTGTAAACCAAGGTATTACTGTACTTTACTAAGATTTGATCAAAAAGGAGATATTTCCCTTCACATACAATTTTAAGGTGAAAAACAGAGAACACAGCATTTACCAGGATTTCTACATGAATGTGATTTAATCTTCATCTATATCATAGAAATAAAAAAAAAAGACAACGTTATTTAACACTGTGGGAGTCCAATATGGCCCAAACAAAAATTATTGATTGGGCCCTAAGGGTTAACAAACATTTTCTTACAAATGTAGCTTGCTTTTCACAACATGGGATAGCTTTTTTCCCAGATTTATCTGCAAGGGTTTTCTGCATGAACAAGTTAGCAGGTACTTTATAATATTCTTAAAATCCATGATATCAATAAAAATTAATTAAAAAGTACTGATTGATTAATCTGACCCTTGGTTCTCAACTGGTGGGTCGTGACCCAAAAGTGGGTCCAACCCCGTGTTCAGTGGGTCGCTGCATGCCTTCCACTTTTTTAGGTGAGAGGCTGCTCAGCCTCCACCTAGCAACGCACTGTCAGTTCTCACACCAAGCAGCCATTCAAAATATGCTGCCCGGCGCAGAGTGTCAGCTTGAGGTGGGATGATTGAGCTCCATCCATATGTGCATTGCTTACAGCTCTCTCACATGTCCTATAGAGGTGCCTGGACCGGACTGACATCAGATTCTGGCTCCCAACACCTCTACAGGGTGCTCAAAGGAGCTGTACAAGCAATACACATATGAATGGAGCGCCGTTACAGCACTGCAGCCCACACTGCACCCCATGCTGAGGATCCACTCCAATTCTCATAAGATATGGAGACTAAGTAGATCTTAAAAAATATATATAAAATTTTTGCTTTTGAGTGTGTGAGAATGTGTCTGTGCTTGTGTGTTTTTGAGGGCCCCTTCACACTAGTACAGTGCGTTAATCGCATAGTACAGTGCGATTAACGCACTGTACCACGCAATCGCACCTACTGTGCATTTTGGTGCGGGAGGTATGTTGCGTTGCCATTCATTTGAATGGTACCCCAAACGCACCTCCCACCCACAGTTTGTACACCCGCACTGGAACCCGCGGTACCCTAATGCCGTGCGTTTCATTGAAGTGTGACTTGGATCGTGACTTAATGACCAACGACAAATGTGGGTCCTGAGGTTACACAGGTAGAAAACCACTGATCTAGACAACATGTGGTGCATAGGGATGGCTGCCAGGAATGATTTATATGTAGCACTGGAGGGTACCTGCTAAAAAGAAGAATAAAACAAGAATATCAAGATGCTAGAAATGTATTTATGTAGAGAGTTGATCAGTGCAAGGATTAATTGATGCAGTTGGAATTTATGAAATAGAGTTTCACTATATACATTTATACATTTCCCCTGTGGCTAATGCTAGAAGTACTGATCAATTAGTCTAGACAACACAGGAGCTTGATTATAGAGTTAGAGATAAGATTAGAGATTGTTTCCCCCTACCTCCTCTCCTACCAAAAAAAAATAAATCAAAGCACACCTAAAGCTGTACAAATCAGAGTAAGATAAATGGCATGCACCCTTCAGTACCATAACATACCTTTTGCTGACTGCCTTTCCAAAAGAATGTACACAAAAAAACACTTTGAGAACCCTATGCCCATGTGGCAGTACATGAGTTTGCCAATAGGATGCCCAGGTACTAAAATCTGCATTGAGGGATGCAGTGGGGGAGCAAACACTTTGCCTCTTATCTGAAAGTTCATGTTTTTATGGGTACACCAGGGCAGCCAGGAATTCTAACTGTATAACATTGAATGGCACCTGCTATTTGTATGTGCTGTCACTTTAATTTTTAAAGCAATAAGTTATGCTTGCTTTACAAAAAGAAGAATAAAACAAGGATACATGATATGCCTGTGGAAATTATGGTTTGGTTATTTTCTTCAGGACATTAAGTGGTTAATTTCTCATCACCGAGATGCCATGAAGAAAACACTGACTGATGATAGATTGCAGAGACTGCAGAGAGATGGAGGCACTCTTGTTGCCAGTCTCCAGAAATCATCTTACTTAAGGTATAACCCAAAGTTTCAAATATGTCAACTTTACTGTGGCTTATCGACACTAACATGGGGTTATAACTTTTGATTCATTTGTATTTAACAGGTTATATGACCCAGTGACTTTTGACTTATATGAGAGAGTAGACGAAGCTTTACATAATCTTGTCCGACTCTCAAATCAAAAACTGCAAGACCTTGAGGCAAGATTGCCACCACAAGACCGCCAAGACAGAAGTGAGGTAAAAATATATATATTATTAAAATAATATCCCGTATATGGGATAAGGTAGAGAAAAAAAAGGAATAATATACAGCACACACAAATACACACAAACATACACTGAGTGGCCAGATTATTATGACCACCTGACGTTTGTAGGCAAATTAGCTATAATTAGCTATAATTTCACGCTGAAGTTGCTAGAGGGCCAGACCATTATAAATAGGGAAGCAGGTTGTTTACCACGACAGTAGAAGTGATTTGTTTCTGAAGATATGGGTAAACAACGCGATTTAACAGCCTTTGAACGTGGGATGATTGTTGGCGCTCGGAGCCATGGAGCGAGTATCAGCAAAACAGCAGAATTCGTTAAATGTTCAAGAGCAGCTGTTGTTAAAGTGTTTAAAGACTGGACTGTCAGCCGAAAATCTGGGTCTGAACGTGCGAATTGTGGCTGTCAGCGACTAGTCAATGTTAGGGCAGAACGGAGAGTGGCAAGACTGGTACAAGACAACAGAAGGGCAACAGTGCAGTGTCAGATTCCTCGCATCACCTTTCAACATCTCGTGGAGTCACGAGGCGGCCCAACGAAGTCATCTCGTGGATTCATCTCGTGGCCCAACGAAGTACTGATGGGGTGGTCATAATAATCTGGCCACTCAGTGTATATTCTGTATGTCACCAATCACTGTATATCAGTAGGGATTATAAAGGGATTGTCATCTACAAATCTGCAGAGCAATATTGCAGCAAACTGCTTAATAGCTATAGCTTACAGGAAAAATATGGCCATTTGAAACCTGCTACTTAAATCTGAACTCCACTTAGGATTTATTATACATACTTACATTGGTCCAGCTTGGCCCAGCTGGGGATCCTGTGAAGCACCAAAGGAGCTGGAGCTACTACAGTGCGAAGAGTGATCCAACGGGTCTTGTACTGGCACTGTGCTCAGCAACTTTCCCTCTGCTCTGAAAAACAGTGATCTCTTACTCAGCACAGCGGCCATTCCGAGAACATCTACAATTTTTATCAATGAATACAAAGCATTCTTTAAATTGAATGTGGGGTGGATTATGACTTCACGGGAACTGTAAGATCAATGTGGGAATTGTAGTAGCTCTGGCTCTGACAGTGTTTTACAGGATCCCTGTGGGCCGATCAGGTATGGCAGTTGTATACTTACATGGGGCCAAGCTGGCATTATGTACAGCAGGCACACTTACACCACATAATTCTGACTGACAGCCTGGCTAATGCAGAAACAGAGCAAGCGTAGCTCACCTATGTCATGCTAAGAACTTTGTAAAGCTGGCCATACACTGTTAGAATTTCAGCTGACTCCTTCTGACGAAATGTAAGCTGTGTGTGACTGGACTTTTGTTGAAGGAGCCTGAAAATTGTGGGGCAAACAGTGACTACAGCCAGTCAGTTGCAGTAACTATTCATATATTCTGCCAGCTACGGTTGTCGGCTGTCTGAATAAAATAGCCTGGTGTGGAGGGATGAACCGAGATTTCCTTCTTGATCAGTCCGCAGGGATGAATGAGAAAGAACTACCAGCGTATGACCAGCTTGAAGTGAAGCTGAAGCCAAAACATGAATTTTGTAGTTTTCGATAGAGGGGAGAGGAGTTAGAATTGCTGTCTGTGTTCCCATTAGGGAGATTCTTCCCCTCTATTTGTTCTGGTGAACATTATCACTGACAGTGAAAGTAAAAGAAAATCCCAAATTTTGGGTACTTACAAGAACAAATGGAAAATCTTTCAATGGGGACAATAGTTTTGGTGACCCTGCTGACCGCCAGGGATTTCACTCATTTTGGAGGGAATTCTGCTCACTTACTGTTGTGGCTATCAGACAGGAAGTGAAGGGAAACCTCCCCAATGAGACACAGATGACAAAGAAAAGCTGACAAGGGTTATAACCCTCCCTTACGCTATCCAAAACATTTTTTAAAATGGTCTTCAGTTCTAATTTACCATTAACATGGCAGTTAGTGTTTAGTTGGGGTGAATCAGTAGTTGAAAAAGCATCCTTTAGTTTTTAACATAAACATCGTCAGTCAGATTTGGACTGTGTTTTACTAATTATTCAATTTTACAAGGTACATTTGTAACTGATACTTTCAGCTTCCTGTTTATGAATATTTATTGTACTTGTAGGATACTCAGAGTCTGCTTAATACCCTGAGACATGGAGATATGAAAATGGAAATGATTGGGGAGGCAACAGAAGAGGTAACTCAAGTCCTATGTTACAATGACTAAGCTTATTACTGCACGCTTACTCAATGCAGACCTTGTTAGAGTTAGCTTGTAACATCAGTGGTTATTCAGGATCCTTTAGGCACAGAACTTAAAGTGAACCTTTTATTTGCCCATACAGTGAAAAGCAACAGGGTCACTTTATCCCCAGCCTTACCAAATGCACAAACTTACTTTCTCACCTCTCTGTTGCTGCTTGGAGCAAGGGAGGGTTTGCCCTGCATAGGTTTTAACCCCTTCATGACTGAGCTAGTTTTCAGTTTCTGTTCATAAAGGACTGACACACTTTTTACATTTTTGCTGTGTGATTCTTCCACAGCAGTAATATACTTTCTTACTAAATGTACCCACACATATTATATATTGTTTTTTAGAGGACAGATAGGGTTATATAATTATATCACATATGTGTACCTAACCCCTCACTTAGTTTGAATAAAATAAAAAAATTAGGAAAAAAACTAGAAGAAAACACTTTTTTCACAAGTTTTGATTATTATTATTTTTTTAGAATTTTTTAATATTAATTATAGTATAAAAAATATATTTATATATAATTTTTATTTTCCTAATTTTGTTTTACACTTTATTTAATTTTTTTTACACTTTGTAAAAAAAAAATAAAAAAATAAACTTTTTTCTTCTTGTCAGTTTATATCAAGCAATCACTATGAATGCTTGATAAATTAACTTTTTTTTTTAATTTTTGGCTATTAGGCTGCTCCAAACGTAGGAACAGCGAATAATAACCTTAGAGACTGATCCTGACTTTAGTCCGATTCAGATCTCACTAAAAGCTCTTTGATCGTGCCTAGACGATCAGAACTGATACATTTCACTCAAAAGATATACATGGTATCTTTTGAGTGAAATGTATCTAAACATCGTGCTCTCGAGCTGTCAAAACAAATAGCAGAGAGGTGAGTCACTGCTACCTCTCTGCTATTTTCAGCTGTCAAATACAGGATCTCAAATTGCGGTCCTGTATTTGCATGTAACGGCTTCATTCTTTCATTAATGAAAGGAAGAGGCTTTTACAAAAAGCTTAATTATTTCATTAATGAATGCCTCAATACTGAGGCATTCATTAATGTCTGGTAACTGCTGAGAATCAGCAGTTACCGGCATTACAGAGCCTGATATAACTCGTCACGTACAGTGTACGTGGCCAGTCATATAGGCACAAAGTGCCGGGACGTACACTGTACGTCTCCCGTCACGAAGGGGTTAAAGCAGAACTCTGGCCAAATTAAATCTTAACCCTTGCAGTGCAGAAATAGCCCCACTGCAAAGGTTAAGATTTGATTTACCCTGGGTTCTGCTTGAAGTCATGACTTGGAGCTTACACAGGGGGAATGACCCTATCTCCATGCCCTCTCCCCAAAATAGGTGCCTGTGCAGCCAAGCACAAGTGAGTTACATGCTCCCACATACCCAGAAGTAATGGGCATATTTCTTTCCACCCAGCAGTCTAAATGAGTTGTTAGGAAAGTAGGTAATGTATTTGTGCTGTTGGTGGACCCATCATTAAAGTGAACCTGTTGCTTTTGCCATGCATAGAAAAAGCACAGTTTTGTTCGTGCAAACCTCACGGCCTTGCTAACCCATTGTGCTTATATCATGCTTGTGTTGTACATACAGTATGCACTTAGAAATATCATCAATACTTTCCCATGTTACTGCAGCCAGAATCAATTTAATGTAACCATACGAGTACCATGTTACATGCAATGAATTGTATATGGTACTAGATATGCCATTGTTTTAGGGGTGCCTGTTCCTGAGGCTCATTATCCATTCTTTCCTGACTTTAATTACTCATTTGTAACTAATCCTGCTCCACATCCAATACAAACTTTAGCAGGGGATGAATAATGTGCATTCTTCTTCTCTGATTGATTGACAGCTATATGTCTGGAGCTGTGTGAGGTCACATTGTAATAAACTTTGCATGTGAACAGTTGCCTGCACAGTCACTGCTAAAGCTGAGCAAAGTAATAGAGAACAAATAATTTGCCCCAAGCTGAATAAATTCTGTTATGGAACCAGGGTCATGCAAGTTGCAGAAAAGTCAGGCAAGGGTTGTATATCTAGATCTGGGTTGACTATACGCTATATTCCAATGAGCCACCCAGAACTGTGTTGGCATCTAAAAGGAGAATGTAGTTGTTGATGATGGAACATCCAAAGTGCAATAAGTAGTATTTAAATTGTACTTTGCTGTCACTGTGCAGTACTACCTTGTGAAATGTAAAAGAGTTAGATACAAGGTTATATTATCTAAAAATGTTGTATGATAGAAGTACCATTATATAAACTTAAATAATATAATCTTATGTGGAAGGGTTATTCCTGGAATCACCTTCCAGGAGCTAGAAAAACATTTGTTGTGTTTCAGAATAGAACGTTTTTTTACTTTTACTTCATTCGTTTGTTTGTTCGTTCACAAATTTGTTTACTTACTTTGAGGTTTTAGCATTCTGAAACAGATAAGTTGAGATGACGAGACAAAGTCACTTCAAGGTTCAATGAATTACTTACACCCTCTGCTATTTTTTGTAGACACAAACATTAGAGGAGTATCGTGTACCATTTCTAGAACCAGATGGTCGCAAGTCAGAGGTTGGCGTCAGGATCCGTGGTCTAGAAGTCAGTAGTCGAGAGCTAGCGGACCGTACCTGCAGCCCACCTCGTGGCCATGTTCTCAGCAGAGGTGATGGGAGAGGACCAGATGCCCCTTGGGGGGGTATTCCAAAACTGGAGGGAAGAAGGTGAGCCTATACCTCACTAGATATTGATGTCAGGTCTGTATAGACCTATATGTATAGACCTAATCTATGGTAAAAATATGTGTAAAAAAAATGAGAATGTATTCATAAAACAAAAAGCAGCGTAGTGGAACTTTTATATCCAACTCTGGCAACAGTAAATTATACTTAGACACAAACTTTTTTTTTATAAAAGGTGTATCAATTTATTTTTTATCTTTGTGCAATAAATTCTAAAAGACATGTTCAACACCTTAAAAACGTGCATTACACAGATACATTGTCATCCTTTGTCATTGGGCTTTTTGTAATTTATACAGATATCACAAGGATAGGTGTTTTTCCATAACAGTTTTTCTCTTGGTCTGGACCATATAGTTCCATTTGAAACCACTGTAGATGTAGATTATACATTAATCCTAGTATCAATGCATGGTATTGCATAAATTATTAAAAAGAAGAAGCATTGTATTCTTCACCCATCCGCCAGACAATCTAGGTAAAGCTCCTCTGCAACCAAGTGTCCCCCAGCAAGTGTATGTGGACAGGGCCTTTTGTAGTGAAGGCCCTCTCAGAGCTGAGCGAACCACCCTACAAACATATATGGGTGTGGGGTAAACATTTGCAGAGCTGTTCATTATACAAAAGTCTAACATTTACATTCAGAGTCAAGGAGCACAGGAATTCCCTATGCTCATCAGCTCCATCTAGTGGTCATAATGCAGTGTGGATGTAAAAGTCAGATTGTTGAAGAACAAACAACTCTGTGAACGTTTAATAAATACACCCTATGTGTTTGAGTTCATCTGAATTGATTATTTACCTGGTGAGATACATATATATACATATATTTATGTATATATACAGTAGCTGACCTATGGAGAAAAGGGTCCTTGTGCAAGATTTTTTTTGCCCCCCCCCAAAAAAACAACCTACAAACACAGCGCTTTCCTCCCGCAGCGCTCGGCCGGTTTTCACTTTCTATCCTCCCCGCTGGGACACAGAGCAGCGCCCAGCGGGGAGGAAAGAAAGCAGGGATGCGTTGCTGTATCTGCAGAAACATTGCATTATTGCTCTCACTGCGATGTTCGAGGCGATATGTAACATGTGCATCACAATTGTAGTTTTTCGCATGCAGGCGCTCCGACATGTGTGTATCTGGGGGGTGGGGGACTTAAACATTTTTTAAACATTTTTTTAGTTTTTTTTACGTTACTTTCATTTTTAAACACTTCGTTTTTTGTACACTAACCCTATTGGTATTACATAGGGGGTGTGACAGGTCCTCTTTATGGAGGCATCAGGGGTCTTTTAGACCCCTAATGTCACCTAGAGACCCCAAACAAGCTGAGGAAGCAGAGATCTGCTTTCCCAGCTTCTTGTCCTGGCTCTAAGAGCCGGAGACTGTGTACAGTGACACCGGAAGTGATGTAATACACAGCACATCCGGGTCCAGTGATCGGAGGAGAGATCAGCGGTTGGAAGCTGCTGAATCGCTCTCTGATCATTGCGGGGAGACCCACCGACCCAGTGGCTGCTGCGGGCAGGGGGGCGCCGCCACACAGTACAAACGACGGGCTGAAGGGACAGGTGGCTGTTCAGATACCAGATCGATTGTAAGTTACACACCAATCACCTGCTGTTAAAAGTAGTACCAAGAGCACTGCTGCCGAAGCAGCCATGTTCTTGTTTTAGCTACTTCTGCGGGCCGCCGTCTATAGGCGTACTGCGGCCCGGAAGTGGTTAAAGTCCATTTTTTCCCCCTTCCCCAATGTTAATGTTAGCACTTACCTTAACTGATGTCTCTTAATCCGATCTTCTTCTTTCCTGATGTTTTCAGCTATCCCTCTAGCACTGCGGCGGCTCTCCGATCCAGCGCTGACTCCTCTGTTCTTGCTGGCACTTCCTGTCCCACAGTGTCTGCATGCGGGTGCACGTGTCCATAGACTTACCTTGTGTCCCTCCTCGTCTCCCAGCCAAAAATCCGAACTGTGCCCGCCCCAAGATGCTTTGCTGCCGACCGAGCAGTTTCGGATTTTCGGACGGGAGTGCGCGGCAAAGACCACCCACTGGTGGTCAGTGGGGCCCCCTGGACCCTGGTTGTGGGGGTCTGTTGTGGCCGCAGCTGCTCCATCCCTCTGCTGCCTTTCTGCACATCCAACACTCCCAGCCAGTGGCGTAGCGAGGGGGGTGCTTGCCCCGGGCGAACTGACCGTGCGGCCGTCACCGCAGCTCCCTGTCAGCCTGTCCGCATCAGACCCGGCTCTCTAATCGGCCGCCGCTCGCTCCTGAAGTGGGTCCTCTGTAGGCCCCCTCGGGCGGCCCTCTACAGTGCCTGTTTAGGTGGCCACGTCTGCATGATCTGCGGGGGCCTCCAGAGG